GGATGTATATATAGTGGGATGAATACAGTAGAAGAGAAGGAAGACCTCTTCTTGAAGACAGTGTACATGTAAGCTCACTGGACAAAAATAAATAATTATTCAGCTTTGTAGAACAGCTATACAACTCTGTGTTTGTAATACTGAGGACTTAGTCCTTTTAAGGCATGATATCTTGAGCCAGTCCTTTATGCTTCTTTTTTTTTTTTTTTGAGAGGTTTTCGCTATAAGGTGCATGCACTCGCCAGACAGACAGAGACAGAAAGCGAGAAATCACCCCCCAGGGGGGATGGCCATGCCGCAATCCCTTCTCCTCCGTTCTCTTCTCGGGATCTTGGGCACGCACACACATGCACCCGCCGTGAGTTTTAAGCTACCTGGTCTGGGGTGTGAACCGCGGTAGACTACGTGGGAGTCCAGCGACATAGCCATTACGCTAACTGCTGGTCCCAGTCCTTTATGCTTGTAGTATAAAAACTTTATCATTCTTTAAAATAATTTTCTGGAACTGAGCACTCCAGAACAATTAGTTAACAGCAGGGCTTTGTTAAATTAGTAAAAATAAGAGAGCAGTTCCTTTAGAATTCAGTGCCTTACAGGAGCTTCCTAGAGTGTTAGTATGTGTGGTTGTTAATTAAAAAATAAATAAAAGAATGTTATCAAATGTAAATAAACTACATACAATAGCCCTGGTTCATTGTACAGTTTTAAAATGAGCAGCTCTTTGAATTTCAGACTGCTAGTGAATATTCTTTTAAACTTTATACTGTGACTGGTGTAACTATATAATTTATGTAAAAAATTCTAAAAAATGAAATAAAATAGCATGATGTTGCTATTAGAAACTTTTAAGTCTACACCAAAATACCTAAAACAATAAACTTGTAATGCATCCTTCTAATTTTATCTTAATTTCAGCATGAGATAAAGTTAGCAACATAAGGTCATTGTCAGTTTAACGATTATCACTGGTTTTTATTGTGACTAGTGTACATTCCAGAAGGCTTCGATCATAAAATAAATAAAGTCTATGCTACTGGAAACAAAAAAAGTTGCTTCTTGTCAATATTCTCCAGGTGCTACAGGCACCTTTGTGTGCCAGAGAGGAAAACAAAAGATGAAAGAATAAGAAAAAAAAGTCAGTAGCAATGAAAAGTGAAGGTAGGAAAAATGACAGCACAGGAAAAAAAACTGAACTAAAGGAAAAAGAAAAAGAATGGTAGATTATAAAGATAAAAAGGAAGAAAATAAGTTTCAAAAAGATAAATGATCTAAAAAATTAGAAACTGATATTTTCCTGAGATGAACTTTGCTCATAGTATATTACAGTGTTAAACACAATACTTGAATCTTCTAAAATATAAAAGTGAAATAAAAATCCGAAAATATTTGTGAAACAGATAAAACATTTCTAGTGTCAAATAACTCTGTTAAGTAATTTATTTGTGTTATTTTACAAACTCAATTTCAAAAGTCTCTTAGATGCTATGGTAACTTAAGTATATCATATATTTACTGCCTGCAGAGTTGTTGATGCTGGCAATACGCATTTTCTTTAAACAAAATTCTTATTTAAGAGCATATTGATGATGGCATACAGTTTTATACCACTTACATGGAATAACTCTGGAGAACCACTATCTCCTTAATGCTGAATTATTTTGCCAATCATAACTTTATATTTATTCCCCAGTGGATGTATATATAGTGGGATGAATACAGTAGAAGAGAAGGAAGACCTCTTCTTGAAGACAGTGTACATGTAAGCTCACTGGACAAAAATAAATAATTATTCAGCTTTGTAGAACAGCTATACAACTCTGTGTTTGTAATACTGAGGACTTAGTCCTTTTAAGGCATGATATCTTGAGCCAGTCCTTTATGCTTCTTTTTTTTTTTTTTTGAGAGGTTTTCGCTATAAGGTGCATGCACTCGCCAGACAGACAGAGACAGAAAGCGAGAAATCACCCCCCAGGGGGGATGGCCATGCCGCAATCCCTTCTCCTCCGTTCTCTTCTCGGGATCTTGGGCACGCACACACATGCACCCGCCGTGAGTTTTAAGCTACCTGGTCTGGGGTGTGAACCGCGGTAGACTACGTGGGAGTCCAGCGACATAGCCATTACGCTAACTGCTGGTCACAGTCCTTTATGCTTGTAGTATAAAAACTTTATCATTCTTTAAAATAATTTTCTGGAACTGAGCACTCCAGAACAATTAGTTAACAGCAGGGCTTTGTTAAATTAGTAAAAATAAGAGAGCAGTTCCTTTAGAATTCAGTGCCTTACAGGAGCTTCCTAGAGTGTTAGTATGTGTGGTTGTTAATTAAAAAATAAATAAAAGAATGTTATCAAATGTAAATAAACTACATACAATAGCCCTGGTTCATTGTACAGTTTTAAAATGAGCAGCTCTTTGAATTTCAGACTGCTAGTGAATATTCTTTTAAACTTTATACTGTGACTGGTGTAACTATATAATTTATGTAAAAAATTCTAAAAAATGAAATAAAATAGCATGATGTTGCTATTAGAAACTTTTAAGTCTACACCAAAATACCTAAAACAATAAACTTGTAATGCATCCTTCTAATTTTATCTTAATTTCAGCATGAGATAAAGTTAGCAACATAAGGTCATTGTCAGTTTAACGATTATCACTGGTTTTTATTGTGACTAGTGTACATTCCAGAAGGCTTCGATCATAAAATAAATAAAGTCTATGCTACTGGAAACAAAAAAAGTTGCTTCTTGTCAATATTCTCCAGGTGCTACAGGCACCTTTGTGTGCCAGAGAGGAAAACAAAAGATGAAAGAATAAGAAAAAAAAGTCAGTAGCAATGAAAAGTGAAGGTAGGAAAAATGACAGCACAGGAAAAAAAACTGAACTAAAGGAAAAAGAAAAAGAATGGTAGATTATAAAGATAAAAAGGAAGAAAATAAGTTTCAAAAAGATAAATGATCTAAAAAATTAGAAACTGATATTTTCCTGAGATGAACTTTGCTCATAGTATATTACAGTGTTAAACACAATACTTGAATCTTCTAAAATATAAAAGTGAAATAAAAATCCGAAAATATTTGTGAAACAGATAAAACATTTCTAGTGTCAAATAACTCTGTTAAGTAATTTATTTGTGTTATTTTACAAACTCAATTTCAAAAGTCTCTTAGATGCTATGGTAACTTAAGTATATCATATATTTACTGCCTGCAGAGTTGTTGATGCTGGCAATACGCATTTTCTTTAAACAAAACAACAAACAACATTTTATAAGAAAGCAGTCTCTAATAATTTTAAATATCCAATCAGGAAAAAAACATATCCATTATAATTAATATAGTCAGTAGCCCCATATTAAACATACTGTTTTATTCCTATAGACATAAAGTAAATTTGATTAAACAATAATGATATTCCTGGAATCAGCAGTTAGCATAATGGCTATGTCTCTGAACTCCCATGCAGTAGACCGTCGTTCAAGTCCTGGGCCCGGCGGCTTAAACTCAGGCCAGGCACGTGTGCATGAGTGTCCAAGATCCTGAGAGGAGAATGGAGGAGACAGGATTGCGGCGTGACCGAACCCCCCAGGGCATGATTTCTCACTTTCTGTCTCTCTGTCTCTCTCTGTCTTTCTGATGAGTGCAAGCGCCCTATAGTAAAAACCTCTCAAAAAATGATATTCCAATGTAAAATATGACATGCATCCCACCATAAAGCTAGCCATATAAAAACTCACTTTGAAAATAAACTTCAAAAGTGATATGTATTTGACTAAATAAGGAAATCTATATCATTCTTTAGAACTTCAGTGTACTCCAGAACTCTATGTACAAAATGAAACAAAAAGCTGATTTTATTTCTAAAAATTTTACAAACAAATTTTGTAATAATTTGACAAAATTGCTTTTTAAAGTCATGTGAAATCTGTTTTTATGATTGCTAATTAATTCCTCTGCCTCCAATGGAAGAATAATCTTGCTGAAAGTAACAACTATATCTTATTTACTATCCAATACCCAGTATGTAGTGCGTATTCTACAGTCATTATATATAACATATGTATCTTTGTATGTAGTGCAGTTTATGGCACACAGTAGAAACTTGATGAATGCTTGATTAATTATTTTTTATTATTTTATACCTGGTCAATTATTTTTTAATAGAAAAAAAATACCACTTGCACTATTCCTTTTTTACTCTCAGTTGAATTTATATAAGCATGAAAGAAAACACTAATGCTTAAAAATGTGACCAACCTACAAAGCATAGAAAAATACATGGGTAAATATTAAAGAATTTAAAAGGAATACCGACTCCAAGTGAAATGTCTTCATCTTTTCTACTTTGGTCCAGTGAGGGATGAGCCAGGTCAGAAAAAGAGAAGGATAATACAGACGAGGGAGAGGAACTCAATATGGCAGGAACGTGGTACCAGTGCACTTTCATTTGAATGTTCCACAGAGCTGTTCCTCTGGAAACCACTTGTAAGTTTAACAGGGTAGCCCATTTTCACACTTTATGCTTACCAGAATATTAGACAGATGAATGTACAGATACTCAGAAGAATTTTTCCTTATTTCTTTAACTCTTATACCCTACCTAATTTCAACAATAAGAAACATCTACATGGGAAACGTTCTTATACATAACATAGTTATCTTCTTGTACCATCTAAGTCTACTACTGCTAAATATTCAATAAATATGTTATTTTTTAATTAAAAGATAAAATCTTGTTGGTAAAAAAATAAAAAAAAAAGTTACCTTTGAGTGCATTTTCCTCAAACCAGAACAGAATACTTGCAAAGCAAAAATTCCTTACCATTTTCTAGTATTAAATTCATTTGTCCTGATGGGCATATATAGTTGTACACCTCTCCCACCCTGGAGGTATATGCTGTTAATTATTCTGCACCAATAATGGCATTGCATAAATATAGATCAATTTGTTAACAATCTGTCATTTTAATGCATAAATTTTAGGTAACCAGTAGCACTTACCTTGAAAAATGTCATGGTTGCGCCATCCTCTACCGCTCCGTACTCTATCTTGGTTTGTTTAGCTAAATCATCTGCAGAGTCAATAGGGGATTCCATGCGTTCCACTGTCAGAAAGGCGGCTAAGTTAGCAGTATACGAAGAAATGATGATAAGTGTGAAAAACCACCAAATGCCTCCCACTATCCTGGTGGAGAGCGCTTTGGGCATGAGCTCAGAACCTAACAGAGATTGGGGGAAAGGTGAAACGAATACAGAGAATTTGATCAGCAATCAGATACTTTTGGACACAGTGGCAGAATGGAATCACTGTGTAATAAAAGATTAAGTCATAGATTTACATATTGCTTTACTAAGCAAGTAACAACCATTGGGAGAAAGGAGGCGAATTTCAAATTATTGGCCATCTCTTAGGATGCTTGTGTTGCAATACAGTGACAGGAGACTCAAGTTCTCCCTGAGATGATATAAAGTACCAATTAAAATATTAATGAGTAAAAATTCTTCATAAAGTAGCATTAGAAGAGAAAATAATCTCTGCAGTTAATAGACCACATGTTTACCTTTTCATACTAATTAATATGTGGGTTTTAGAGAAAAATTTTAATGTACGTTCAGTTACATTTCTGTGTGTAAAGTTTTATTTTTCTTGTGAATGTAGCTCAAATGTTTTGTCTATCCTGTCATTTTAAAAAGTAATGTATAATAAAACAATTTCATTGGCCTTACATCTCTTATGATATGGGATTAGAGCCCACTGTTTGTTTAACATACGTTAGTAAATTATTTTCTTTCATGACTATCTCTCATCACTATGGTAAGCCTCAATGAGGGAAATTAGAATAAGAATAAAGAGCTAAATCATAACAAATGTATTTTTATACATATAAAATATTTCATAAACATAGCACAATGTATAGCTGGAGTTGCCTGCTCATGCTATCAATAAAAAAATAGGATCAGAGAATTACATTTTAATTTTGATTGTTTTAAAATTTAATTCATTTAGATTATAAAAAATATCCTAACAATTTAACAATTTGGTCTGTTATAATTTAAATTTTAATTAGGTTTTTACCATGTTATTTACAGAGTTAATTCTAAAATGAAGATATATCAGTATAATATTTAAATTTTAATAAGAAAATCATACTAAATTTATGGAGATATATATATGTATATATATATATATATAAAGGCTATTTACTGTTAATCATTTGAAATCTATAATTGAGAAAGCATAGGGTAAAAAATACTTAATTTTGAACAGGGTTTGAGTAAAACGTAATGAAGCAAAGATGGACTCCTTTTTTGCTGATTTTTACAGTTATACCTTTAAGGTAATCACTGCTGCAGTAAGGTAACACATCTTTAGATGGAATGAGAAAGTCACCTATTCATGTTAACACAGAAGGAAGCACTATCATGACTGCACTGTATCAAAATAGCCCATCTTACTCTGCAATTCATCTTACCCTTGCAATTTCAAACAAATGAACAAAATTTTAAAAGCAAACAGACTTGGACATGACAGCCAACTCCAGCTCCAGATTCTGCCTACCACTCTGTAAGGAAAAAAACAAAAGAGTACCTTTCTGATGTTGTTGCTCCTAGGCCCTGTCAGACACACACTCGGACACTGAAACACTAAAATATTCCCAAGGTGATCAGCAGCCTTGGCTGCCTATTATACTTAAAAAACAAAAAACAAAACAAAAACACCACCACCAATAAAGTCAAACAAGACTGGGAAAGAAAAGAATAGTGGAGATATTTGACAAAAATGGCCCAATTACCACAAGTTCATATCTTACCCAAGAACTTAAAGGAAGAACTTCCTAGGCTTGTGACTATCAGAGCCTGGTTAGGGGCTGACTGTCATGTACTCAAGGTAACGTCATGTCCAACACTATATCCCACTAATTCCTGGGGAACTGGGCATCAGCCAGAATAGTATGGGTTCCTCTTTCATGTATCCACCAGCAGTAAGGTAGTTATGTGGCAAAGTAAATGTATATTTGAGTATTTCACTGCTTTGATTACTTGTTATTATCTTCAAAATATCACATATACTCTTATTTCTAACTGCTAAATATTACTGGTATCTTATGAGTATACAGTTCTCAAAGATCTCCGAATACTTAGAAGATATAAATGAAAAAATAACAGTTTTATGTTTGTGGTATCAAAATTAAAAAGAAAAAAAAAAGAAACCCAAAACTTTGCTATAGTCAGACCTTTATGGTCACTCTAGGCTTATTAAGGTTTATTACTAGTGAGTGATTGGCAGTTTGCCAGGGCGAACTACATTACTCAATGCTACATATATGAGAAGCCTTTCTTTCACTTGTACTATTTTGAAAGAACTCCAATATTGTCTTCCAAGTGTAGAGTAAGTCTAAGAGAAAATTAACCTTGGATCCAAAATGTAGTAAATGAAAAATACAACTAATTCTTCATTTTAGAGTTATTTAGAAAGAGTTGCCACACATTTAGATTAAGTCAAGTATAAGTTTTGTGAATTTTCAAGTTTTAGGTTTAAATATCTTTAAAACTATACACATATGTATTTTTCCAATATACACTCATAATTTTACAAGGGAAAAGTTATTCCAACTTAGTAGGCCTTGCTTACAAGATATATTAACTATTATTTATCAATAAGTGTTTTTTCCTGTAACATAGAATTATGTATTCTCACTTTAGAAAATAGTATATAAATAGAACAGTAATGAATTAATGGATTTCTGCATAATATTAAACATGCGAGAGCCAAGTACCTTTGTTACAACCATTTTACAATTTAACAGTAAATTTTTACTTCTTCAGATCTGTAAGGCGACAAATAAATATTTTTTTCAAATTAGAAAATAAATACACCAATAAAATTAAAGGTGATTATTTAGGTGTTGTAATTCTTAAAAAGGATCGTTTTCCACTTAATCCATTCACTGCCAATGATTTAAAAATAGATATTATACTTTGTTTACTAATTTTAAGAGTTAAAAATTACATTTTTAAATGCATAGAATAGTTTTAGACTTAAGCTAATAATAATAATAAAAAGGCTGGGTAATAGGTCTGATATATTAATTTATTAAAATTTATTTAATATTAAAATATTTAATAAAAGAACCCATTGCATTGAAGATAAAAATCCTGTTTGCAAAAACTGAGACTAAAATAATGAATGCACTATTATATATAAACCATTAAAATATATTATTACATGTATTATTTCATTTTCCAAGATATAACGTTTACTTTTAACATTAATATTATGAATTTTAAATAATTATGAAAAAGTGTTTTTACGTGCACTTCTGAGCATGCAGCATTTTATAGTCTATATGCTATCAGATGCAGCTAATATTTTACTTGAAAAGTTAACAATAAGTGGTTTAATATTTTAATTTTATAAATTTATATGCAGTAGACTTACTAATCATGCAATCCAAATGCATCTAATTACCAAAAGTAGATATGAAAGAGAAGATTTTACATCAAAATGAGACAGGAAACAGGAGCATTCCACTGTATTCTTGTCTCAAGGAGATGTAATCTTTAGTAGATTAAATGCAGCTTCTGGCTAATGAATCAGGTTAGCTTGGTTATCTATGAAATAATGTACCTACTGTGGGTTAAGAAAAAAAAATTAGATGAGTATACTGTATGTAGATTTGCAAAAGCTAATTGTTTTCTCAGAATCGCTCTTGGCTGGGATTTGAGAAGGCCTAAATGCGTTAGGTAGATGGAGAAGCTGGATTATGGTTACATGCACAAGAGGCACCCATGCAAGCGACTTGTGCCAGCGAGAGCTGTCACCCCCAGCAAAGAGTGGGACATGGTGCCCAAAGGAAATAGCAGGCTGAATCGTATACCTTGCTGCATGAGAGCTCCAACTCCAAACCAGAAACTATTTAGCAAGGTAAAATTGTTTTCCACCACGTCTGAGTCAGGATTGCAAGGGTGTGGATTATACCACTCATAAGGACTAAACCTGTGGTAATTGACAGAAAAAAGAACATATTTAAATTGCAGTGAGAAGAAATTCTATCCAGCACTTTTTGCTGCAAAAGAAACAAAAAGACAGGTGTAAGATTAAATAGAAACCAGAAATAGGCATTTTTATAGTAAGATTTTATATGCATAACAGTATTGAATTGTAAAGATTCCTGTCTTTACCAGCTAATTTCCATACTAAGATAAGAAATGGCATTTCTTTACTACATATTACCTGTGAGAGGAAAATCTGTATTAGTAAATTAACTTTTTTTTAAAGACTTATGACTTTTCATGTACAGGATTTAAAAAAAAACTAGAAAATTATTAAAGAAAACAAATAGTTATAGAATAAACATTTTTAAGATTGCACAAAAATAGTTAAAGATGGAAAAATATATAGAATCATCTAAGAATTGTTTATGATATAATAGAAACCACCAAAGAAACTGATTAAAATAATCAGTATATAATCACATACCTACTAAAATAATACCATGGGCTTACATTTTTATGTATAATAAATTTAACTCTACACTTTAAAAAAGCATTTTATACATGCTTGTGACATTATTACAGGTTTTGGAGGACATGCTGATGTACATGATATCACAGCAGTATTAGAAGCAGAAATGCATACCTAGGCCAATTTTTATTATTATTTGTTTTCAAATTTCTAATTAATTTTTATAGTAAAATCAAATCCAAGTTTTAAGGCCAGTTACAGATGGCTTTAGAAATATCATTAAAATCTCCCATATAAATGAAATTGAGGATTTTTTAAATTGTCAACTGTACACATAAATTAATTTATGCTAATTATAATCCAGTTATATTTATCAATTAATGGAATTATTCAAAAGCACCCCCTCAATAATTAAACACACTTGGTTTAATTATTAAACTATCAAAATATTTTTCCAATATCTCACATTTTAAAGCCACTCTTTTTATAAAACAAATTAGTATATGTGCCCTTTATGAAAGCAGTAAAAAAAATCTTACATTCAATCAAAGTTATTTGAATAATGTATCTGTCACTTCAGAGAGCCCAATTTTCTTCACAATAATCTTTCTGACATATTAAAATTCTGAAGATCAAACAAACCATTTTCATCTTTCTAATGCAATTTTAGAACACTCTTGTTTTAATAGCCTATCTTGACAAACAAAGAAGTGTTTTATTTGGTTCTCTAAGTTGAACTGACACACTGAACAGAAAGGTTGATTGAATAGTAATTAAACATTCTGATCTGATTTGTTGTGTCTGACTGAAATAAAACCAGCTTTCGTTGGAGACATTTTATTTTTATTTAATTTCTTCCTTGTTACTTTTATACTAAAGAGTAGTTCATATGCATTTTAAAAAGTAATTCCAAGTATCAGAATGTTGGCAGTCAGTCTTGACACAAATATTTTTTCTTTAAAAACATTACTATTTTAAATTGACTATCTAAAAAAATGTATTATTCACGAAAGAGAATGTAATCATGGGTTCTGCAGCCATACCACCTATCTTCTATCCTGACAGCTCTGTGTCCTTATTACACCTACCTAAAAAATGAAAATATTAGTAACACCTAACTCACAGGGGGGTTGTAAGGACTGCATGAACGAATATAGTACTAGAGCCAGCAATGACTCAATAGTTTGCGACATGATACTATTGTTACATTTGGGACCTCACTTAGAGTTACACATTCACTTTCACATACTTCATTTTTAATGTCATGATAATTAAAGTGTTCTTTCCTACTCCTGAAAGCGTATTAGCTGTAATATCAAGCTGGTCAGGAAGAACTAGATTTAGTTTTCTCACCTGATGAATCTTAGAAACATAGCCAGAGAGAGTGAGAATTGCATAATTTGGCTCATCGCGATAACCATTTTTCCTTTAGAGTTCCACTACCTCTTGAGTTTTACACAGATACTTCTATGAAATGAAGGGAGATAAGTGTGTGGTAGGCTTCAGAAGGTACAAGTATAACTATGCAGTGTTCTGCCTTAACTTTTCTAATTAATGTATATGTAAAATTCTGACAAGAAAGGAAAGAACAAAAGGAAAGAAGAAAAGGGAGGAAGAGAAGAATGAATAATCTGGGAACACTGATACTGGTTTCAAGAAACTAATAACTTCATTGTGAGGGAAGAGCCCCTTTTTTAATTTTAAAAGAAAAATATGGTAAATATTTAAAAATAATGTACATATTTCACTTTCTTGATTTTTTTTTTCTCAGATGGAAGACATCCAGTGGACAAAGGCTTTGAAAGATGCAAACCTCGCCAACAAAAATCCTATCTAATTTGAATTTCCAATTTGGTTCTTGCTGTGACTCTCATTGCTATTCTTCTAATGGTGGTAACATGTTAACCCTTTCAACCTCAAATTCCCTCAACTCATGAATAATCTCACTCACTGGTCTTACACTGATTTGTCTGAGATATGCTTTCCTTTCCTCACATTTAAGTCAACAAAACTTTGATTTTAGATTCATTCTTCATTTTTCATTTTTCTTTTTTTTTTAAGAGAGATTTTTGCTATATGGCACAGGTGCTTGCTGGAGAAACAGACAGAGACAGAAAGACAGTGAGAAATCACACCCAAAGGGGATGCCCATGGCACAATCTCTTCTCCTCTATTCTTTTCTTGGGATCTTGGGCACACAAGCACCCGCACCTGACGTTTTAAGTGACTAGGTCTGGGACTCAAACCATTGTCAACTATGTGGGGGTCCAATGACATAACCATTACACCATCTGCTAGTCTCCCATTCTTCACTTTTGTCTAAGCTAAATAGCATCTCCCCTCTAAGATTAACTGTTACACTTGATTATAACATTATTTCCAGCCGACCTTGTTTAAGGGACCGCTCCTACATTCCAACTTCTTCAAATTCACTTTTAAAAGTTCTATTTGCTTCCAAATTGATACTCTTCTGTAAAAAGTATTTTTGTTAACCCAAATCTATATACTTAAACCTAATCACTCTCTTGACCTAAAGTTTCTAATGGCAGTAGACTTTTATTTATTTTTTTTTTTTGAGAGAAAGATTTTTGCTATAGGGGTGGATGTGCTTACCAGACAGAGAGAGAGAGAGAGAAAGTGATAAAGTGATAAATCATCCCCTAAGGGGATGGCCACGTACAATCACTTCTCTATTCTTCTCTTGGAATTTTAAGCATGCTGGCACATGCACCTGGTGAGATTTTCAAGCTGCCAGGTCCAAGTCACGAACCGTGGTTGGCCATGTGGAAGCCCAGCTCCTTAAGCACTATGCCACTTGCTGACCCCTACAGTAGACTTTTCAAAACTGATATGTCCATTATTAATGTATAGTCTTTCCTCTAAATCCTTCCCTTTTTATTATCTTCCCCATCTCTGTTAATAGCATCACCTGCTAGAATCCCTCCCACTAGTGGTGCTAGCACTAGCCTTTAGCTGACTTAGGTTCAATGTCCTTTAGATCAACTTCAGCTCTTTACATTCCTTGGCTGCACAGCCTTAAAATCTAGCTAGCTGTCATATGACATGAGTAAGCCTCCAGATTGTCTTTCATTTTCCTATTTGCTATTTATTCCCATTGGCATTATGCTAGTTCCAGCTGTCATATCCTGTAACTGGACTTTCCACTTTTTAATCCCAATTTTACAATCTCTTATAAAATATTGCTTCCCTGTTAATCTTTATGTAAAATACTTCCAATAATATAAAAGCTCTATTAAAACCATATCTTCCATTATGTCCACCCACTGTCCATATACAAACAGCCAAACTTTAGGCATGGCTTCAAGCTTTTTACTTATGCTCCCATATACCTTTCCAAGATCATAATCAACTACTTTCCCTTGAAAACTCTGATATACTACCAGCTGGCCACCTAATGGTTTGTATCCATTTCTTGGCCCATATTATCATTCAGCCTGTAATTCTCTGCTCTCCACTTCACAGATATTCAAATCCTACATCTACCCTTCAATTCTACCTAATAACACTATAGCTCTCCTGATCGTCTTTGTCATGGAAGGTATCTATAACAAAGACTGAGGACTATAACTCAGTACTTATTCTCCTCCTTGAGTTTACTAGGAACACTGCTGCCTGACTAAAATTACACTTTTTATGCCCAAATTCCCATGTTGTGCGATTCGATTTGAGCCACTGTCTTATAAGCAGAAATGATGTGTGCAACTTCCTGAGACTTCTCCTTACAAATACTTGCCCTGGGCTGTTTTTCTTTCTCCTCTTTTCCTTAGAATGGTAATGAATAGAGAAAGAGTTGAAGCTCTATGTTGAGAATGACAGAGTTGCCTCAGCAGCCTGGGACTGGTCTCCGGTGAATGGGAGAATGTAGAAGAGCAGCAAAAATCTATCATCTATAAAACTACATGGATAAACAACTTCTCATACAGGAGAGAAATAAATCAATTCTGATTCAAGAAAGTGTATATTGTAGTCAAAATAATCTTGAATATCTCAGGTGTCTTTTTTCCTTGTATCTACAACACTAAGAGCTTCAAGTCATATTAATCTTTGTCTGATCTCACTAAAAATTAATGCACACACCTCCTCTTTTCTATTAGATTGTAACTCAATAGATGTAAATACAGTTTCTGGTTTATTTTTGTCTTTCCTTTAATTTCTAGCATAATGTTTCAAACCTAGTGGGTATTTAAAACAGATTTGAATAATTCTAACACTT